AGTCAATGCAACCTATAAAAATACCATCATCATTTTTCACGATATATAAAAAAATAACTTTGCACTCCGTATGAACCAGAGAAGACCCGTATAAGCAAAATCAATCTAGGCAATAAAAACAAAATAGGAGGTATCAATTTACCACATTTCAAACTATATACAAGGTTATAGTAATTAAAACAGCTTTGCACAACACAAGAACAGGACACTGACCAGTGGAACAGAATAGAGAACCCAGAATTACCATCTTATATAGCAAACTAATCTTTGACAAACAGATAAAAACATACACTGGGGAAAGAATCCTTATTCAATAAATGGTGCTGGGAAAACTGAAACTGCAGAAGACTAAAACAGGCCACACCTTTCACCTCCCACAAAATCAACTCACACTGGGTAACAGACTAAATTAGGTTGAAACTATAAACCTAAGGAAAACGTTGGAAATACTCTTCTAGACATTGGCCTACAAAGAATTTATGAAGACACCAAGCAATCACAACAGCAACAAAAATAAATTTGACCTGATCAAATTAAAAATTCTGCACAGGCCGCGCGTGGCTCACGCCTGTAATCCTAGCTCTCTGGGAGGCCGAGGCGGGGGATTGCTCGAGGTCAGAGTTCGAAACTAGCCTGAGCAAGGAGCGAGACCCGTCTCTACATAAATAGAAAGAAATTAATTGGCCAAATAATATATATACAAAAAATTAGCGGGCATTGGGTGCATGCCTGTAGTCCCCCGCTACTGGGAGGCTGAGGCAGGAGGATCACTTGAGCCCAGGAGTTGAGGTTGCTGTGAGCTAGGCTGACGCCACGGCACTCCTCTAGCCTGGGCAAAAAGCGAAGACTCTGTCTCAAAAAAAAAAAAAAAAAAAAAAGCTTCTGCACAGCCAAAGAAACTGTCAAGAGAACAAACAGACAACCCACAGCATGGGAGAAAATTTTCACAAAGCTACACTCCAATATAGGCTGATAACTAGAATTATTTAGAACTCAGGAAAATCAGCAAGAAAAAATCAAATAACCCTATCAAAAGTGGGCAAAGGACATGAAACAGAAATTTTCAAAAGAAGACAGAAATAAAGAGCAACAAACATGAAAAAATGCTCAACATCTCTAATCATCGGGGAAATGCAAATCAAAACTGCAATGAGATATCATTTATCTCCTGTAAGAATGGCCTTTATCAAAAAGTCCCCAAACAATAAATGTTGGCGTGGATGCAGAGAAATAGGAACACTCCTACACTGCTGGTGGGACTGCAAACTGGTTCAACCTCTGTGGAAAGCAATAGGAGATACCTGTAACGTGATAGCAAGTAGATCTACCATTTGATCCAGCAATTCCTCTACTGGGCATCTACCCAAAAGATCAAATGACACTCTACAAATGGGACACCTGCACTCAAATGTTTATAGCAGCACAGTTCACAATCACAAAGGTGTGGAAACAACCCAGGTGTCCATCAATACATGAGTGGATTAATAAAATATGGTATATGTATACCATGAAGTACTATTCAGCTATAAGAAACAATGGTGATATAGCACCTCTTGTATTTTCCTGGATAGAGTTGGAACATTAGTATTTTTTTTAAGACAGAGTCCCACTCTGTTGCCCTGAGTAAAGTGCCCTGGCATCAGCCTCACAGCAACCTCAAACTCCTGGGCTCAGAAGATTCTCCTGCCTCAGCCTTCCAAGTAGCTGAAACCACGGGCGCACGCCACCACACCCAGCTAATTTTTCTATTTGTAGTAGAGACAGGGTCTCACTCTTGCACAGGCTGGTCTCAAACTCCTGAGCTCAAGCAATCCTCCCATCTCAGCCTCCCAGAATGCTAGGATTACAGGCATGAACCACCACACCCTGCCCATTATTATACTTTAATTTCTCCTCTTCTAACCTTTATGTTATTGTTGTCATACATCCTACTTATATGTTATAAACCCTTAATACATTATTATTTTGTTTAAACAATTATCTCTTAAAGTGATTTAAATGATAAGAAGATTATGTGAACTCACTCGCAGTCACCCTTTCTAGTACTCTTCGTTCCTTTGGGAAGATCCATGTTTCCACATGATGTCATGTTTCTTCTGCCTCAAGGGCTTCCTTTAGTATGTCTTACTATGTGGGTCTGTTATTAATTCTTTTAGCTTTTATAAATCAGGAAAAGTCTATTTTTATAGATAAGAAAAAGACATTTTCACTGGGTGTAGTATCCTGAGTTGACAGATTTTTTTCAGTACTTTAAAGATGTTGCTCCATTATCTTTACACTTGCATTGTTTCTGAAGAGAAATATATCATCATCTCTATCTTCGTTCCCTTGCGTGTAACATGTCTTTTCTTTGACAGTTTTAAGATGTTTTCTGTTTATCATGGCTCTCAAACAATTTGATTAAGACATGACTTCGTATACTGTTCTTCATGTTTCTTGTGCTCTGGCTTTATTGAACTTCTTAAATCTGTGGGTTTATACCACTCATAAAATTTGGAATTTAATGACATTTCTTTTTCAGGTGAGTTTTTCTGTTCTCCCCTCTCCTTCAAAGACTAGCATTACATTTATATTAGGCCACTTGAAGTTTTCCCATAGCTCACTAATGCTTTTCATTGTTTATTATTTTTTCATTCTGCTTCATTTTTTATCTATGTCTTCAAGTTCATTAATCTTTTCTTCCGTAATTTCTAATCTGCCATTAATCCCAATAAGTATATTTCTATCTCATATCTCAGACATTGTAGTTTTCATCTCTAGAAGTTTGATATGGGCCTTTTAAAATATTTTTAATGTTGTTACTTAACATCTGTAATGCAGTAATGGTTTTAATGTCTTAGTCTAATTATAATACCTGTGTCTGTTCTAGGGTGGTTTCCAGTGGTTCATATTATCCTGTCATAGGTTATAATTTTTGCTTCTTCACATGCCTGGTAATTGTTGATCAGATGCCAGACTTTGCAAATTTTACCTTGTATGTTGCTGAACATTTTTGTATCCCTACAAATATTCTTGAGGTTTGTCTTGGGATGCAGTTAAACTACTTAGAAATAGTTGGATTCTTTCGGGTCTCTTGATTTTAAGATTTATTGGATGGAACAGGGGCAGAATTCAGTTCAGAGCTAATGACCCTTCGCCTCACTATTGAGATAAGATCCTTCTGAGTACTCTAACCAGTGCCCATGAATTAAGAAGTTTAAGTCTCCCTGGCAAGAACAGCCATTATTCCTGTCCTTGTACATTCTTCCTAGTAGTCTTTGTGGGTTGTTCTTCCCCTTGTCTCAGGTAGTTTCCTCACATGCATGCGCTAATCTGAACACTCTGTTGAATACTTGAAAGAGAGCCCCTGAAGATCTCTGTGGTTCTCTCTCTGGTCAGCGTGTCCTCTCTGGCGCTGTCTTGCAAACTCTAGCTGCCTTGGCCTCCCCAGACTCTCAGTTCCTTCTCCTCAATGCAGGGAGTCCAGTGAGGTCCATCTGGATTATTCTCTCTGCACCACATCCTAAAACTCCCTCAAGGCAGTGAGCTAGAGCAATCATAGCACTTACCTCATTTGTTTCCCATCTTACAGGGTCACCCTCCTTTTTGCCTAGTGACCAGTGTCTTGATTACTATTGTTCCATGTATTTTATCTGGTTTTGGTTTGTTTGTTCATTTTTGTTTTTATTTTTGGTTTTTTTGGTTTTGTTTGTTTGTTTGGCTGTCCTCAGGCAAATCCAGGCTCAGTCACCCCATCTGGGCCAGAAGCATAAGTTGTGCCATCTTTTTTACTCATACATATCTGCATGGAAACATTCTGGGATACTATTTGCACCAAAATATTAAGAAGATTTGTCTCTGGCTGGCGGAATTATAACACTTCTTAGTGTGTGTGTATGTGTGTGTGTGTGTGTGTGTGTGTGTGTATGTGAAATTTATGGGTTCTATAATAAATGCATTACTATGGAATAAAAACAATAACACAAATTTTTTCTAAAAATAGTTCTTTCCTATGCATGAGGTCCATCCTGGGTGATGGGTGCCCTAGAATAGATCACGAGGCCGTGTTACTGTCTAATGTGCTCCAGGATGATATGATCACAGCTGCACGACTCAGCTCACTCAGCAAGACCAGTGAGGTGCTACCAGGCAACTTCCCAGAGTAACCAGGCAATGTAAAATTTCAACAGTCTCACCAAAGCATCCACGTTATACCCAGACTCTCTAGAACATGGTAGTTCCATGAAGGAGCCATCAACACCCTATAGCCATGAATTTTCAAAGGTTTAAGTATTTTCATGCATTCACACAAAACACACTGACACACTTCACAGACATACACACACAAAAACATATGACCCATGATATATAACCTCAATTTGGAAGCATTTTTTAATGGAACCTCAGAAAAGAGAGATTGAGAAAATTCCAATGACCAAAGAATGGTAAATGAAAATTAACGGTATAGTTTTAACTTTAACACTTTAGGATATGTAAAATGCCATTTGCACTCTCTAATACTTCATCTTTATTATAGTTTACAAAGAAATTTCATATTAATATTTATAGGGACTTCCAAAGAATTTCTAAAAACATTCACTTTCTGACCCTTAAAAAATACATTTTAAATTCATCATCAGTAAATTTGTCTACCACAGCTGAGAAGGGAATCCTCTTTCTCCAGTGCAAGGGGATATAGGTCATTTTGTCCTTAATGGTAGTTGGAAGAAACCTCAGTTCTTATTAATATAATTAATGTAATATACTATGACTAAATATATTGTGTTACCCAATCATTTCTTTAAAAATTTATCAGAATGAGAATGAAGTCACTTGAAGCCAGCTAACTCTAGGTTGGAGGATCAAGACCTAACATCCCACTCTTGGCTGACCAGTAGCACTTACTAGGAAGAGGCGGCACAGAGGGCCATATCTCCAGCAGAGGTGTCCACACTGGACAGAGTGCTATGTAGGCTGAGGTCTGCATTCATTGGAAGCAACCCTGGTACCCTGGCACATACCATCTTCCTCAACTCCTGGTTGGACACAATAATGACATTCGGTGGGTCTCCGATGGCAGTGGCAGCTCCTCCGATGTTAGTGAAGATCACTTCTGCAATCAGGACTTGTCTTGGATCAAGGTTGAGCACCTCACACAGTCTGTCGCAAATGGAGGAAAATGAGAGTGGTCTCACTACTCACATGGTGAAAGGCCCACGTGCAAACCAAATGTTTTCAATGAGCTTGCTCATACAAGGGAGGCGCATGCACACACACACACACACACATCCCTGTGAAAAGGGCAGTGCAGGGGGATGAGCCACTGCAACAGCACGCTCAGGCCACGGCTCACTCTGGAAGTTACGTTTCCTCTGAAAGCTAACCCACCAGCCTCTGAGCCACCCGTGTAGTAAGTACCCTTTCCCCAGCCCCAGGTCTGGAGGAGCAGTCTCCTGTGCGCAGGCCCTCACGCAGGGGAACCGGTGCTGCTGCCAGACCCCTCCACGACACGGTGGGGCAGCGCAGAGAGCACTGGTGGCTCCCACGGAGCTGCTGACTTAGTCCTTATCCACCTTCCCTTTCTCAGATGCCAAGGCCCTAAGCTCTGCCCTTTAACGACTGTTGATAACGACTGACTTCTTCCTTGGACAAGGAGCACACTCCACAGCCATGGTTCTCCACGTGGCTGCACACTAGATTTGTCTCCGAATCTTGGAGAGTCCTATAGCCTGGCCCACAGCACAGCAATCCCGGGAGTGGACCTGGGCAGCAGCGTTCTACAGCCCCCGGGTGGGTCCAGGGCAGAAAGCACATCACGGCATCCTCCACCCCAGCCCACCCCCATACAGGCTGTCCCACCGCCTCCTGGCCCTCAGCTCACAGCACAGCCAGCCACAGCCTTCCCCTCCGCTGGTGGGAGGAGCGGACAGGCCCACAGACTGGTGAGGAGGCTGAGGTAGAAGTGTGTCTGGGGACCAGGAGCAGGAGCGACTCCACACGTGAGCATCAGTGTCCGGCAGCAGCAGTGCTCAACTGAAGAGGCCCCAGGATCTGCTTCCGGCAGGAAGATCATTTGTGTGCGCCAGTCAACCCCAGACAAGGCACAGCGGCTCCAATCCTATGGGCCTACATGCCTAACTGAGAGGACGAAAGCTACTCAGGCCAGGCACAGGCAGAAGAATGTCATCAACACTTACAAAGTCATGAAGAATAGGGTCACAGAAACAGTGGGTCTTAGCACACCAGCACTTGAACCTTGAAAGATGTAATTTTCTGACTACAGAATAATGTAGTCAGAAAATAAAAATAAATGGAACCGCTGCTCTAACAACATTACAAAGCCAGTTCCTGAGCAGTGATGACATAAACAAATTCTGGCAAGGCTGAGACAACCCCCAGCTGTGGGCTGTACAGGGGTGTTGGGAACAAGGTACCCGCCACACCTCAGCCTTGGAATCCCGCTCTCACCAGCTGGGCTGCCGTGGGAAAGCACAGTGACAGCTGGGATCTGGGGCATGTGGGTGGCACCACCATTCTCAAACTAGGCCAGCTGCAGAGTTGTGTTGGTTAGAAGAGGGTGAGGGGCCTGTCTCTTGTCCTCTGTCATGCCCAAGAGATTTAGTGCCGTTAGTAGCACATGTTACAGTCTACAGCACCCCTCGAACACATCTGCTCCATCCCTCATTCACCCTCAGCCCTGCAGAGGAAAGCTGAGAGCCCAGCACCCCCCTGTACCCCACAAGTCCCTGTCTGCACAGGGGTAGTGACGATGTGGCCAAGCCCACAGGAGCCTGGGTACACGCCTGAGTCTCCACACTGAGGCAAGAGATGGCCTCGGATGCTGCAGCCACATCCATGGGGGTGCTGGCCGCCTCCTGCTCCTCCCTCCCCTCCTCACACCCCAACTCACACCTCTAGGAGTCACCCCCAGAATTAACCCTGAGCCCAGAAAGCAGCATCTTGCTGGTACCTTCGAACTTGCTCTGTCTCCTGCCTGTGTCCAGGTGGGTCCCTTGTTTCACGGAGCCCTGATCACACTTGCTCAGGTTCAGCTCTTTGCTGGTACAACCCAGATCAGTGCAGCTGAAGTGACTTGTTCAAGGGCCCTACTACCAAGCACGGCCCCTGTGAGCCCCTGGGGCAGCTTTCTCACCTCCGTATCCCCAGGCCCAGCCAAGCACCAGCTGGTGATGGGCCCAAGGAGGAGAGGACCAGGCTTGGGGGCCTGAGGCTGATATGCTGGGGAACCATGTTTAAAACACAGAACATAAAGTACGGAAACACACTTAGGTCCACGACTCCACACGGGGCCTGTGCAAGGACCCAGACTGAAGCTCAAGCTTCAGAAGATTCTGGGCAAACGGCCTATGGCATTCAGTAAGTGTGGGGTGACTTAAGTGGATGGAATTAAAAGAAATGGAATAGGATCAAACTAAATTTCCCTTTCCCACCTTTACCTGCGGAGCCTGGCCAGGCTGAGCCCTGACTCTAGAGAGCCCAGTCACTCCTGTGACCCTCTGAGCCTCTGCGGGGAAGCTCTCACACTGGCACAGGTGTCCCTGCCAATCCAGCCAGGTGGCAGATGATGATGGAGAGGACGTGCACAAGGACTCCTGGCACCTGATGGTACGGGACAAGGTTCTCACCCACGTCCCCAACCCACAGGAGCATAACCTCCAGGAAAGCAGGGCCTGTGTCTTCCCACTCCCCGCAGCATCTCTGCCACCCAGCTACTGCTACACCACTGCCATCGCACGAAGCAGGTGCTGGCTCACTGGAGGACCGTGAGTGTGGGCACTACCACCCGCCTCCTCCCTGGCGTGAGAACAGAGAACCTATGCCTGCCCTGAACCTGCTCGTGATACCCTCGGCAGAGGTACCCTGCATACCTTATGGTCACAGGAGTGAAGAGGAGCATTGTGGTGACATTGTCCAAGAAGGCAGAGAGCACAGCAGCGATGAGACACAGCATGATGATCATGGCCCACACTCTTCCCCGGGACAGTCGGTATGCCTGGAAGGGCACGCAGAAGGAACAAGCCAGAATCAGCAGGTTTGTATAACAAATGCTACTTTTCATTAGTGACGCTAAGGAACAGGGATCCAAACAAACACAACACATGGGTTCAGACTTAGACACACGGAGTCCTAGGTCTGCCAAGACGAGAAAGTGATAGCTGTGCTGGGCACCGCAGTCCTGGACACTCAAATCGGTGGTCCACACCAATTGTCCTTCTTCACAGTGCCCCCGTCTCGAGGTGACAGTCCCCATTCCCTTTAACACTATCTAGTGTTTTGGTTAGACAGCCTGGCTGTGGCGTCTGCAATCCATGTGACCCTAGTGTCTGCTGATCTTTGGGGACCTAGGAGATACTTTCAGTACCAAGGTATGGGAAGAAGAGGCCAGAAGATACAAGACGGTGCATGAAGATGACAAAAATCACAGCATAGGTCTCTTGTTCAGAGTATGCAACGGGCTTTGTTGGATAATTTTAAAAAGAACTTTTCAGTTCCAAAAAAATGTCAAGCGCAGCACTTGACATTAGCTCTACGTTAGCAGGGCCCGGCAAGACCTCCTCTCGCAGCACCATTCTGGGGGCCAGAGCCAGCTGCGACATCCCCCCAGGGGTCCAGTTAAAAAGTGAAATGGATGGAATTTTACAATATTTGCATTAAATGATAGTTTAGTTTCCTAAACATATAATGTCAATAAAATAAATATATCAATTAATACAAAACTATTAACATCACACATACCTTTACAGCACAATAATCAAAAAATCCAGTTTCTGAAAATATGGCTACTAAGATCATCTGTGGGGAAAAGAGAAAAAGGAGACAAGAATCTTTTAGCAGAGCCCCGTACAGAAACGGCGTGAGCATGATCAGTGCAAAGGGCAGCCCTGGCCCCCAAAGCCACCACATCACCAAGTGGTTTATGACTCAGGTACCACACTAGCCCACTTGTGTTTTGAAAGTCCTCTACAAGCCACCAGTGACATTCCTCACAGCACAGGGCAGCCACTGGACAATATGATAAAAGAGCACACAGACAAACTGTTAGTTAGGGACAGTATCTTCCTTTACCCATACAATTAAAGGTACTTTTTCAATCACAGAAACTCTTATATGGTTCCATTATTTGGGATATTCCATTTTTTTATTTTAAGGGCAGTAATTCAAAACAATTGCTAACTTTTCTAAGTGGCAATGCTATTTCATTGTCAGACAGGCCTCAGGCTGATGTTCTCCAGCTAACTAACCAGCACTGGTCGTTCCATTTCTCCGCAGGAGGAATTAGCTAGACCTGCACTCACCGTCCCAATCAAGCCCTAATCGTCACGAGGCACAGTGTCTTTAGTATAATGAAGGATTATCAGCAGTGCAGGCAAAAGAGAAGGACCCAGGCGGCGGCCCGTCCCACTGGGAGGGCTGTAATTACCATGCCAAACAGCAGAGCCAGGGTCTCAAAATCAATCCACTCCACCACCTCGGTCAGGCTGGGTCTCTGCAATCAAAGCACAAATTTGCCAATTAATCCTGTGCGTCCCCTCCCAGTGATAAGCTCGAAAAAATAGGCTGCCTTTTACTGCAAACCCACTCACTGGTTGGAAATCACACCATCCACTTGCCTTGAAATTGGATTACATTGTTGTTGAAAAACACTCATGACCCAAAGCATCTGTGATGTCAAACCTGTGCATTTAGTAATTTAAAACACTGGTCTTTAACCCTGTCCCCAGTCACTCTACAAAGAACTGCAGCCTGGATGGCAGGATTGGCCCTTGAGGTTATACTCTTAGTGGAGTCCATGTGTGCCTTTTTCCGCATCGTGGCCCGAGGCCAGGTGACAATGAGCAGGATGACCGTCTGTCCTGCTCTCCGTCTGCCCCCACTCTTACAGGGAATATGAGGGGACAGCCCTGCAGGGTCCAGCTATTGGGAAGGGCTGCACAATGGGCCCAGGGGGTTGTTTTTGTATATTATCTTGTATCCTGCAACTTGCAAAATTTATTTTTACTAGCTCTTTATAAATGCATCAGATTTTGTACATGGGGAATTGTTTATTTGCAAATAAGACTTTTATTCTTCTTACAATATCAATGCCTTGTATTTCTTTTCTCATTATTACACAAGCTACAGCCTTTGTTACTCTTTGTTTTTCCCTAAGCTTTAGGTTTATCATATACATTTTCAACTTGTCACAGATTACAGTGATATTATATTAATACCAATTTACATATATAAGAAACTTATATTAGTATTTTAACCTCTTTTTTTTCAGCATATTATGGGTACAAATGTTAAGGTGTATATATATTGCCCATGCTCCCTCCCTCCTCCCACCCACCGACACCTGATAAATGTTATTCCTATATGTCCACTTAAGCGTTGATCCATTAATACCAATTTGCTGGAGAGTACATGTGGTGCTTGCTACAGCAATCAGACAAGAGAGTGGAATTAAGGGCATCCAATGGGAGCAGAAGAGATCAACTCTCACTCTTTGCTGATGACATGTATTATACCTAGAAAACCCAAGATCAACCAAGAGACTCCTTGATCTGATAAATGAATTTGGTAAAGTCTCAGGATACAAATCAATACACAGGAATCAGAGGCATTCATATACACCAACAACAGTGCAAGGAGAACCAAATCAAAGACTCAATTACCTTCAAAATAGCAACAAAGAAAATAAAGTACCTAGGAATATATTTAACTAAGGAGGTAAAGACTCTACAGGAGAATTATGAAACACTGAAGAAAGAATAGCAGAGGATGTAAACAAGTAGAAGAATATATCATGCTCATGGGTCAGCAGATCAACATTGTTAAAATGTCTATACTACCCAAAAGTGACCTACAGAGTCAATGCAACCCCTATCAAAATACCATCATCATTTTTCACAGATATATAAAAAATAACTTTGCACTCTCGTATGGACCAGAGAAGACCCCGTATAGCAAATCAATCTAGGCAATAAAAACAAAATAGGAGGTATCAATTTACCACATTTCAAACTATACTACAAGGCTATAGTAATTAAAACAGCTTTGCACAGGCACAAGAACAGGGACACTGACCAGTGGAACAGAATAGAGACCCAGATATAAAACATCTTCATATAGCCAACTAATCTTTGACAAGCAGATAAAAACATACACTGGGGAAAAGAATCCTATTCAACTAATGGGCTGGGAAAACTGATAGCCACATGCAGAAGACTGAAACAGGCCACACCTTTCACCTCTCACAAAAATCAACTCACACTGGGTAACAGACGTTGACATTAGGTGTGAAACTATTAGAATCCTAGAGGAAAACGTTGGAGAATACTCTTCTAGACATTGGCCTAGGCAAAGAATTTATGAAGAGACCCAAAGGCAATCACAACAGCAACAAAAATAAATAGATGGACCTGATCAAATTAAAAGCTTCTGCACAGGCGGGCCGCGGTGGCTCACGCCTGTAATCCTAGCTCTCTGGGAGGCCGAGGCGGCGGATGTGCTCGAGTCAGAGTTCGAAACTAGCCTGAGCAAGGAGCGAGACCCGTCTCTACTATAATAGAAAGAAATTAATTGCCAAGCTAATATATATACAAAAATTAGCGCAGGTGGGTGCATGCCTGTAGTCCAGCTACTTGGGAGGCTGAGGCAGGAGGATCACTTGACCCAGGAGTTTGAGGTGCTGTAGCTAGGCTGACGCCACGGCACTCACTCTAGCCTGGCAACAAAGCGAGACTCTGTCTCAAAAAAAAAAAAAAAAGCTTCTGCACAGCCAAAGAAACTGTCAGAGAACAACAGACAACCCCACAGCATGGAGGAAATTTTCACAAGCTACACCTCCAATATAGCTGATAACTAGATTTATTAGATCACTAGAAATCAGCAAGAAAAAATCAATAACCCTATCAAAAAGTGGGCAAAGGACATGAACAGAAATTTTTCAAAAGAAGACAGAATAAAAAGCCAACAAACATGAAAATGTCAACATTATCTAATCATCGGGAAATGAAAATCAAAACTGCAATGAGATATCATTTATCTCCTGAAGAATGGTCTTATTCAAAAAGTCCCCAAACAATAAATTTGGGTGGAGTGGATGCAGAGAAATGGAACACCCTACACTGCTGGTGGGACTGCAAACTGTTCAACCTCTGTGGAAAGCAATAATGGAGATACCTTAAAGTATCAAGTAGATCTACCATTTTGATCCAGCAATTCCTCTCTTGGGCATCTACCAAAGATCAATGACACTCTACAAATGGGACACCTGCACTCAAATGTTTATAGCAGCACAGTTCACAATCCAAGGTGTGAAACAACCAGGTGTCCATCACATACATGAGTGGATTAATAATATGTATATATACCATGAAAGTACTATTCAGCTATAAGAAACAATGGTGATATAGCACCTCTTTGTATTTTCCTGGATAGAGTTGGAACATTAGTATTTTTTTAAGACAGAGTCCCACTCTGTTGCCCTGAGTAAAGTGCCCTGCATCAAGCCTCACAGCAACCTCAAACTCCTGGCTCAGAAGATTCCCTGCCTCAGCCTTCCAGTAGCTGAAACCACGGCGCACGCCACCACACCCAGCTAATTTTTTGCTTTTGTAGTAAGAGACAGGGTCTCACTCTTGCACAGGCTGTCTCAAAACTCCTGAGCTCAAGCAATCCTCCCATCTCAGCCTCCCAGAATGCTAGGATTACAGGCATGAACCACCATACCCACCCATATTATACTTAATTTCTCCTCTTCTAACCTTTATGTTATTGTTCCATACACCCTACTTATATGTTATAACCGTTAATACATTATTATTTTGTTTAAACAATTATCTCTTAAAGTGATTAAATGATAGAAGATTATTGAACTCACTCGCAGTCACCCTTTCTATATCTCGTTCGTTTGGAAGACATTTTCCACATGATGTCATGTTTCTCTGCCTCCAAGGGCTTCTTTATATGTCTTACTATGTGGGTCTGTTATTAATTCTTTTAGCTTTTATAAATCAGGAAAAGTCTATTTTTATAGATAAGGAAAAAGACTTTCACTGGGTGTAGTATCTGAGTTGACAGATTTTTTCAGTACTTTAAAGATGTTGCTCCATTATCTTTACACTTGCATTGTTTCTGAGAGAAATATATCATCATTCTTCTTCGTTCCTTGCGTGTAACATGTCTTTTCTTTGACAGTTTTAAGATGTTTTTGTTTATCATGGCTCTCCACAATTTGATTAAGACATGACTTCGTATACTGTTCTTCATGTTTCTTGTGCTTTGGCTTATTGACTTTTTAAATCTGTGGGTTTATACCACTCATAAAATTTGGAATTTAATGACATTCTTTTTCAGGTGAGTTTTTCTGTTCTCCCCTCTCCTTCAAAGACTAGCATTACATTTATATTAGCCACTTGAAATTTTCCCAAGCTCACTAATGCTTTTCATTTTTATTATTTTTCATTCTGCTTCATTTTTGATCTATGTCTTCAGTTCATTAATCTTTTCTTCCGTAATTTCTAATCTGCCATTAATCCCAATAAGTATATTCTATCTCATATCTCAGACATTGTAGTTTTCATCTCTAGAAGTTTGATATGGGCCTTTTAAAATATTTTTAATGTTGTTACTTAACATCTGTAATGTAGTAATGGTTTTAATGTCTTAGTCTAATTATAATACCTGTGTCTGTTCTAGGTGGTTTCCAGTGGTTCATATTATCTGTCATAGGTTATTTTTGCTTCTTCACATGCCTGGTAATTGTTGATCAGATGCCAGACTTTGCAATTTTACCTTGTATGTTGCTG